AAATTTCTGGGAGTTCAAACTTCCCAACCTCTGCAGTCCCCACTGAATCGGAGCCCAGTTCACCCACGCCCACCCCAAATCTCCAAACGAGAAACACCTCTCTCCTCCTCCTCTTCTTCTTCCCGCTGCTTAGTATCTCAGGACGCCCCCCCCATACCTGGGCCAGACTCCGAGATCCCCAACAAGTCCTGCTCTGCTGTCCACCCCAACAGGAGGCAGGCGGCTTGGCCATGTGCCCCCCAGTCAGCGTGCGGTATGAGGGACAGGGCATGTCCTACCTCTATGCTTCCTGGATATATCATCTTCAACATGGAGACCAGCTACGTATTTGCTTCACTTGCTTCCACGCTGCCTTTCTGAGCTTTAAGGACTTGCTGGAGTCAGAGGACTTGGAAGATGAAGACTGGGACCCTGAGCTGATGGAGGACGCTCAGGCAGGGCCTGAGCAGGAGGGATCTCTGGAGATGGGGCCCAGCTGGGGGCAGGATCAAGGGCAGCCTTCACAGGGGGACTCTCAGGCTTGGGGGCCTGGGGCCCTGGCATCAGCCGCAGCAGGGTCAGAAGAAGCGGACCTGGACGACCACTTTGTGCCCACTGAGTTGGAGCCAGAGGACACAGTGCCCCTGGGCCTGGGCCCTGAGGATGCTGACTGGACCCAGGGCCTTCCCTGGAGATTTGGTGATCTTGCTACCTGCTCACACTGGCCAAGCTCCCTGCCTGCGTAGCAAGGGTTTCTCAAAGTGGAGCTGGGCACCATCTGGGCCATGGACCCTGCCCAGCCTGAGACCTTTTTACTGGACCTGCACTTTTTCTTCATGGTGGGCTGCTTTGATGGCATCTATCTCCAGAAATTGACTCCCGGCTGGGCCCTGAGGACCCCAGGTCAGTGCTGGAAACTATTGCTAGAACCCGATGAGGTGTGGGTGGTGAGTCTCCAAGATGCACCCAAGGAGTATGACCTACACCGCTGGAAGCTGAGCATTCTGGAAACCACCTCTCCAGGGCAGAGTGAAGAGCTTGTCCCTGCAGACATAGCCCTACAGAAGAGAGGATTCACCATTGTCTCTTTTCCACACTGGACCAAAGAGGAGGATGAGGAGGGGGACTTAGCCTCTCAGGCACAGTCCTCCACCCAGGGACATGATCCCAGGACCACTGAGACCTGGAGCATTAGGCCCACGGGGCTTGGGGAAAGCCTGGCTGTCGTGCGAGCCTTGGCCCTGGGGGAGCTGCCCCATTTCCAGCTCCTCAATGGGTCCCAGATGTCAGGAACCAAGACCCAAGTGGCCACCCTTGTCCTGGCTGCCTCAGGACACCAATTGTCCTTTCACAACAGCCAGGGAGCAATTGACCAAGCATGGAGAACCTTTGCCTGTGAAGGGACCGGGTAATGGGACCTGACATGAGCTCGGGGAGAAGGGTCACAAATATTCATAACTGGGAGATAAGTTCTTATTAGTTGATCGTTGACATGACCTAGGTGTGGTCATCCAGGTGTGAACATTTGCTGTGGCATACTTGACATGGGGGGCAGGGGGCAGAACCGTACACCTGCTCTAACCTGGCCACAGGAAGGGATGTTGCTTGTGCGACACACAACAATCTCTGGGGTGACTAGACGTGTTCTCAACTTTGCTGGGACAATCTCTGGGGCACCACAAGACCTTGTCAGCAGCATTGAGGTTTCTGGTCTGTAGTAGGTGGAGACCTGGTTTCAAATATTAGCCTTTTATGCAGTTTGGCCATTTAATTCCCTTTGCTTTGTATGTTATTTTAAATTAAAGTCAGAGAAGCTTTGCATCAAGCCCTTGTGCGGTCATTCCTCAGCAAGTACATATCGATTGTCTTCATCCTTGTGCTGTCAGTGTCTGAGCTGAGCCACCTCTGCAGGCTGAAATCCCACCAGATGGTGGGAGCATGGGACAGATGAGATTCTTGTCAGTGTTTTACCTCGCAGTGGGACTTTGTTTCACAGGTAGTCATCAATCATATTATTTATAAACAAATACATACACACTGAAAATAAAGAAGGTCCATGTTTTGGACAATAGTGTGTCATCAAATACAGGCTTTATTGTAAATATATGCCCCAGAGTTTTTGAAAAAAATCTATAGGCCAAACCATGTGTAAAGGATGCTCATGAGACAGGTGGTGGTGGTGGTGATGGTGAGGAAAGGCCCAGGAGGAGAACTGTGGGAACAAGGGCTCAGCCGCCTTGGACTTTGGCTGCTGCAAAGGCCCCTCCTTTGGTTTCAGGGTTGGGGCACCCACTGCTGTTAGACATGGATGGGACTGGTGGTTCTTCAGGAAGGAGCTGGGGCCCCTGACCTCCTTGTCTCCCAGGGAGGCAGGAAGTGGGGGGATGGCCATGCTGAGGGGAGAGGAGCCCCCCCACTCTGTTAAAGGGCCAGGACTTTGACCCCACGGTACGGTGAGCACAGGTATCTTCGGTTGTACGCTTACAGGAGAAATCTGGAGCTCCTGGAGTTTCTCCCCTCACTCCAGCATTGTCTCCCATCTTTGTGACCCACCTTTGGGCTCTCTGGGGCTCTGTGTCCAGCCTCTTCACTCAGGACGTGAGGTTTCATGGATTCTGACCTGGGGTCTTTTTCCAAAAGTCACCCAGCCTTTGAGTGGCCTCACAGGACCAGGGAGGCTGTAGCCTGGGACCCTTTGCACCTCTCAGAGGCAGGAGACCCCCCCAAATGTTGATTCTGAGAGGACTGTTCTGTGTACTAGACATTTCTCCTCACTGCCCTGCATTTCTGCTTTCCCAGGCGTGGGCATTTTAAGTTGGAGGAGGTACTCTCAACTCCCCCGTTTTCCACCGGCTTGAGCACCTCCTTCATGTGCGAGCTCAGAGGTCCAAGGCCATCCACTAATGAGCAGGGCCACCTTCAGCTGGAGACCTGTGCAGGTTTTACTTGGTTTGATGTCATCATCTCTCCAGCCGCATCTCAGCTCGGGGGCTGTTTGCAACCAGGCCTGGGAAAGTCGTAGAGCCTGAAGTAGAAAGAAAGGAAAAGCATTAGCAGAAGCAAAGGAAGCATCTCCTGGGAGAGGAAAGCAAACCCGCAGGGGTGTCCCCCAGACCTTCCAGCAGAAGGAGCCCTCGGGGCAAGCAGTGGGGTGACCCACGGCCCCTGGCAGGATCCCAGGCAGCCGTGGGCCGACAACTGAGCTCCAGATGGGGCTTTGAGCGTCCGGTCGTTCTGCATGGCTCTGTCTCTCATCCTGTCAAATAGAACAAAGGTCCTCCTGGGCAAGTGTGAAAAACCACAAACATTGGCTGGACGGGTACCTGAAAAGAAACCACGAAACCAGTTTCTGTCTGAGGAACCTCATTTTCTACAGAATTTAGTAGTGCAGTTGGAAATGAGTTCCTTCAGAACAATGATCATTCCAAAACATAATGAACCCATCACGTGCAGAGCGAAGCTTGAAAAGTCACATTTGTGAAAAGTAGGCGGCTTTATGATTATGATTCACAATTTAATGGTCCATACAGCAAATCGCAGGTGGGCGGAGCTGCTTTTGCACAGAGCACAGCAGGTTTTGGGGTGGGGGGTGGCTGTGAGCGGCAGCAGCCCAGGGCAGCGTTCTTCAGTTGCCTTCAGGCCCCCCCCACTGCCGTCTGAGCTGCGAGCCCCTCTCTGTGGACGCTCAGGTCGTCTCTCAGTTGCAGTCGCAGGTCACCTGTGCAGTAGAGAAGGATTCTTGGGTGTCCCCTGACAGCTTCACAAGGGGAGGACCCCCTCCTGCCAGCACCTTCTGGCCTCAATTTCCCTCCCTCATCCATGTCCCGTAAGCCTCTGCCACCCACTCTTGGGACAGCCCAGCACCCACTCACACACGGTCCATTGGGTGTGTCCAGCATCCACACTGGATGGGCGTCCAGCAGATGGAGAGAAGGATGTTGCCCTGTGGCCTGTGGCTCCACAGAATATCATGATGAGGGACCACAGCCACTTCTAGATGTGCAGGAAGCTGACGCCTTTTGGCTAACACTGTCCTTGGTGACCTCAACAACTGACCCTGGGCTGGCCATAGGCTCCTTGAGGCTCCTCTGTGATCTGGGAGTGCCCGGGGTCACGGAGTCACGCAAATCAGCTGCACACAGCAACACCCTGGAACGCCTGCCCCAGGAGGAAGGACCAAGCAAAGACCGCCGTGGTCGTTGCTTTTTGAAACCTCATCTGCAGTCGGGGCTGTGAGGGGTCTCCCCTCTGCTGGGTGACACAGAGGCTTTCCTATACCAAGGGCCAAGGAGGGCAGAGCCATTCGTAGGGCCCCGGCTCTGTGGCTGACCCTACATCCACCCCAGACCAGATGCCTGCTGGAAGACCTTCTGCCTCCTTTTAGTAACTGAGGGCACAGAGTCCCAGGCGAGGACCTTGGACTCTGACCTCAGAGGTTTCTCAGGAAGGGTCAGAGGATCTGGGGCCCACCATGTCAGGGACCCTGTCCCTGGATTTAGAGAGGACTTAGAAAGCCAGACTGCTCTGCGTAGACAGGGAGCAGGAGGATAGACAGAAAGCAAGCAAAGCAGGAGGCAGGCAAGGACAGGCACCCTTGGCCACTGGCTGCAGGTACCCAGGCTGCCAGGACTGTCCCACCCAGGAACCTTCAGACAAGGCCACCAGCACACGGAATGTGGGCCCCTAAATTCCCCACCTCTCAGCCAAGGCAAATTAAACTCAAACCAACAGCCCCTGTTCGTGGGGGCTGGTCTCAGAAGGCAGCAAGTCAGGATGGTCCCTGGGCCCCAGGCAGACCTACGGCAGAGCAGGAAGCCCAGGCACAGGCGCAGGCACTGTGAGCTGGGGGTGCAAGGCCTGGGGCTGGGGGTGAGAGAGTGAGGCTGGGGGGTAGGAGCGTCTCCTGAGGTCAGGAGAGGTTCAGCCACTCAAGCCTCACCCCAAAGCCCCATGTAGGAAGTGGAAGTCCCCGCAGGGGATTGGGGGGCCTGGCCTCTCTCCCTGGAGGGGCTAGCAGGCTGGGGAAGACCCCTGGGCCCCCATCTCCCTGTCTTCTCTCCCACAACAGTGAGTCCGGCTCCTGCTTGTCGGGACCTGGGGTGACTTGTTCCCATGCCACTGTTCTGAGCTGGCCACAGTAGCGGCACTCACTGCATCAGCCCAGGTCAGCCAGGACTTAATACGGTGCCTGTGACAGGGCCTCGGCCATGGGTGGAGGACAGGGTGGAGCAAGAGAGGGGCTACCTGAACCCTGTGTTTGCCTCTACGGCCTCCCCAGGGAGCTGAGTCACTTGCAAATGTGGAAGAAGTCACCTCATGTTGGTGTCACTAATAAAACCGAACGGAACACCACGCTACTAGTAAAACTCCAGGTCGTGTAATGCATGGAGTGAACGGCGGTCAGAGTCCCCTCTGGAGGAAACTAGCTTAGGAACAGCACGTGGCTCAGACACTGCTCATGGGGCCACTGCTCACAGGCGTGGGAGCCACATCAGAGCCACAGGCTCTCCTCCTGTGCTTGGTGTCTCATGCGCTCATCTCCACACACACCTGCCTACCCACACACATGCACACTCGCGTATGCACTGACACCCCCCACACGCACACTCGCGTATGCACTGACACCCCCCCACACGCACACTCGCGTGTGCACTGACACCCCACACACATGCACGTGCACTGACACCCCACACACATGCACACTCGCGTATGCACTGACACCCCACACACATGAACACTCGCGTGTGCACTGACACCCCACACGCACACTCGCGTATGCACTGACACCCCACACACATGCACACTCGCGTATGCACTGACACCCTCCCACACATGCGCACTCGTGTGTGCACTGACACCCCACACACATGCACACTCGCGTGTGCACTGACACCCCACACACATGCACTCGCGTATGCACTGACACCCCACACATGCACACTCGCGTATGCACTGACACCCCATACACATGCACACTCGTGTATGCACTGACACCCCACACACATGAACACTCGCGTGTGCACTGACACCCCACACACATGCACTCGCGTATGCACTGACACCCTCCCACACATGCGCACTCGCGTATGCACTGACACCCCACACACATGCACACTCGCGTATGCACTGACACCCCACACACATGCACACTCGCGTATGCACTGACACCCCACACACATGCACTCGCGTATGCACTGACACCCCACACACATGCACACTCGCGTGTGCACTGACACCCCACACACATGCACACTCGTGTATGCACTGACACCCCACACACATGCCCGACAGCTACACTCGGAACTAGCAATCGCCATCATGACAGCCCCGCATGAAGGCGCGGTGATCCTCAGGGCCTGTACCAATATTGACTCACAAGCTCCAGCCCATCCTGACCCAACGCTATGGATGA